TTTTACCACCTGGAAGTAAAATCTAGTCTGTGGGGAACCCAGAAAGACTACAAACACCCAGCAAAGTGGCAGGAGCACCGTCCTCAAAAAGACCAGCACCACAGCTCGTGCCAGGCCGGCCTGCATTTTCATTTCAAATGGGATACAGTATTTTTTTAATAAGGAGCCATACTTTTTTTTAAAAGTTTGAGATCTGAATGTGATTTCTAATTGTATCAGACATTAATGTTTTAAAGCTATAACAAAGTTTAAAATTTCTACTTTTTGTTTTTCATTTATTTTAACTGTTTTATCTATTAAATTGTTGTATGTGGATGGGGAAGTTTTGTTTCTCCTCTTAGCATTTGTTTCTATAACCAGAAATAAAATTATATATTAAAGAAAAGACACCAGGACTCTGTGTGTCCTTGTGAGTGGCTGCCGATGGTCAGGTGGATGAGGGATAGGAGTGCAGCCTCCAAGTGGCAGCTGCGAGTTAGGGGTGCTTTCTCCCCTAACCAGCCCACTCCTGGGAGAAGCTGCATGGAGGAGGCCTCCCTGAGGGTGGTTTGTCGGCCCAGAGCACGCATGCCTGTGGGTCCAGGATGGTGGTGTGCAGGAACCAGTAGAACTGCCCTCCTGCCTCCCTCCCCCCTGGGCAGATGTGTGTCCTGGGCAGATGTGTGTCCTCCCTGCTGGCACATGGCCACATGAGACGTGTGCTCCTGTGCATGCTGTCCTAGGGGTCCTGCCTCCTCCAAGCACTGAAAGAAGGCAGAGGGGGTTGGATGTGGACTTTGGAGCAGACAAACCTGAGTTCAAAGTCCAGCTGGAAGACTTAAACCTGCAAGGAATTCCATCTCTACCTCCAGAACACTCTGTGGGTTAAGTGACATGGTACATGTCAGCTGTGGGGAAATTGGCCGCCTTGGATTAATGGCTATGAGATTTACAATCAAACCATCATCATGAGGCACTAGATAGGGTGTCCTACTGCAGACTGCCTCTAACTTGGAGTTTGTCACGGACATTGTCAAGCTTCTTTGGTATTCGTATGACCCAGTGATTATGTGCCGTAAGTCAGAAAGTGAAAGACTCCTATCAGATGGTCTTGTTTATGTGGGACATAAATCATCAAATAATAACACTGGCAAGTTACAGCAAAAACAAATCTTGGAATTGGTGAAAAAATTAACTGGTTACCAGAGGGCAGAAGGTCTGGGGGAGCAAAGTCGATAGGGCCTTGGCACAAGTGGTTGGTGGAGGGTGAGTGGACATGCGCGCATACAGAGCAGTGAAACTGTAACTTAAAAATTAAAATGACAAATAATAAAAAAATTAAAATAACTGCCTTTTTCAGAGTTGAAGGTTGTCTACAGGTATAACTGACGTTTGCACACTTCTCTTTAACTCTGTTCATTGTAACAAGGTTCTAACTATAAGCCATAAAGCAATATTAACAGATGCTTAATATTTTAAGATGTTAGCCAGTTAGCAAGCAAGAGAGAAAACGTTTCCTCCAGGGAGCTACAATGAGCTTTTTGTTTTGTTTTCTAAGTGTTGTTTTGATTAAGAACCATTTCTTACTGGTAAGACCTTGTAGAGCCAGCAAGGCACAGGGCAGATTCTCTATGATCTGAGCAGACGGGTAAAGGAGAGTCTTGGAGCCCTCAGTGGCTTTTTCAGGCTTTTATTGAGCTTTTTACAAGGTAGGGGCGTAGGAGGCTGGCAGGCCTCCCAGCCCCCAGCGAGTCTTCACTCCTTCTGGGCTCTCGGGTGTTCTCTCGTCGTCTCTACTCCTTTACTGCTCTGCTGGTTCTGCTCTCATTCTGCTTTCTACTGGCAGCCCTGTGACGCCGCCCTTGTAAGACCAGTCTCAGCCCAGGTGTGCCCACCTATGCATGCCCACACCCTACTTCATGTGTCCACCATCAGGCATGCATGTAGGACCGCAGGAATCCATTATTAATGCTAATTTTAGGCGGGAAGGCAGAAAAACCTGATAATTTTCACTTACACTACAGGCCTTAAAACAATTGTCACAAATGCACATTTGGTAAGAAACAGGCCAAACAATACCTTTGGTGATGTCCCGAGTGGGCCGGGCAGGGCTGGGGCTTGTGTAGGGAGGGAAGGATGGCTGGTGGCAGTTTCTTAGTGAAGTTCAGCTGCCCTGGGAACAGGGGTGTATACCAAAGAGAGAATGCATCCCAGTTCTGTCAATATTGCCAAAATGTGGAGCCCATACATGGACAGAATGCATAACTCACGGTGAATTCATCAAACTGGACCGTGCACAGGAAGTGCTATCACATGCAACACGGCCGTGCTCACGGGCGCTGAGGGCAGAGAAGTGCTGTTGGCGAAGGACAAGCTCTAAAGAGGTGAGACTCAGGGCCGGGGTAATAGTAAGGCGGAGGATGCCTCTGGGGCAGGGGAGTGGGATTTGACCAGGAAGGGAGACAAACCTGTGGGCGTCAGACGCGTCCTCTGTCCCGGCCAGGGCAGGCAGGAGGCTTTATAGCCGGGGGTGCAAGAGCCAGCGTGGGAGGGTGCTTGTTAAAGCTGCAGGAATTTTGTGAGCTGCTGTCAAAGCCATTATTCAAAAGTATATAAACTTACAATTAAGTCGATGAAAAACAAAGGTAATAGATGTTCAACTCGTCACTATCACGCTGCTGTTATCTGTGCTCTCAAGCTTCACATCTGCTGCTCCTGCGCAGGTGCTGCCAGCATCTCCCCAGACTTTGTTCAGTGATGTCAGTGTCAGTAGCTTGAAATCAGCCATCACAGGAGTAGTGGCACCACGGAAGTGCCCGACATGACACACCATGCTGCCAGCAGGGAACCATTTCCAGCACCCTGCTGGTTTATAGGAATGGAACACATCTTTGGCTTCGTTTAAGATGGGTGCGTGTTGTTTTACTTGATAAACTTTTTTTTAAGCTATGAAACTAACTGTTGAACTCCTTTCCAGGTCTCAAATTTACCGGTTAACTGTGGTTACTTTTGATTGTACGCCAGCGCTCAAGCCAGCAAACCCCACCAGAGCCAAGTCATCGGGTTCCACCTTGTGATCCTGGGTCCGGCACACAAGCCCCCTCTCTGCTCTGCCAGCTGGGCTGTGGAGGAGCCTGGGGGCAGGATGATGCTTCTGTCCCAGCAACTTCCTTCAGCAAGTAATCCAGCTGTGGCAACTGTGAGTACCCTTAGCTTTTCTGGGCGAGCAGCACCAGCCATGTGGCGCCTCCTCATGGGACTGAGTTGTAGCCCTATGGGTCCCTGCCACCAACCTAAGTTGCAATGACGATCTTCTCCCTGTTCCCCCACCATTATGACTAGATGCTGCTCCCTTTGATGGGAATGTCCAGTTTTCCCGACATCCAGAGCTGGGGAGTGGGGAGTAGGGGGGTAGTCGGTGGGAGGGTGGGGGATAATGAGAAATAGGGGCAGAGCTGGGGTTTGGGAAGATCAGCCCCTGGGTTTTGGTAGTAAAACCTGTATGGCCAGGCAGTTAAAACTGCTGGTGAGAAGGGGTGTCCATGGAAAGCTGCCAGCTTGCCACAGTATAGCTTAGGCTTGGACCTGGCTTTGGCTCAGCAGACACTACGTGGAGTTAAACAGACACCTGGCCATGTGCCACCAAGCGCTCTTGCCGCTCTCTTTCTCTTCCTGGTCCTCCCTTTTCTTACTCCTCATATAAATAAACCCTGTTATTGTCCACCGCCTGCTTTTGAGTCATGCCCTGGACTCAAAAGTGTGTGGGTGAGGTCCCACCAACTGGCTCACCCCTGGGCCCTCATGTTTGTCCCATTTCAATCTTAGACTCCCCTCTGGACATCTTCCTCCTTCAAGATCTTGCCCAGTTGGGCCTCCCTGGTGGCGCAGCAGTTGAGCGCTGGGTTGCAAAGCTGCCTGCAGCCTCTGCAGCGCCGGTTCCATCCCTGGTCGCTGGGCGACGGTCCCACATGGCGCGCAGACCTCTCCTGCCGCCCGCTGCTCCCCTCAGCAGTGTACTTCGGTCCTTCTGCCTGCTCTGCTCCCCGCTCTGGCTCTGGTGAATTCTCTCACCCTCCCGCGCTTCTGACTGTACACAGTGCTTGTATAAATAGATAAAATAATTAAAAAAAAAAAAAGATCTTGCCCAGTTCAGGCTAGTCAGGCTGTCACACTGGATTGTCGCTGCCCTGCATCTTGTCCTGGGGGCACACACAGTCTGCAGGGTGAAATACCGTGGCCAGTCACAACCTGAGCACTAACACACCTTTCAGGATGAACAGAAACTGACTTCCCTCTCTGCTCGCGTTGCCCCAACTCTGCGATACCGTTAACCTGCAGTTAACCTGCCGCTTTGGAAGCAGCAAGCATAGCCTACAGCAGCCGGCGCTAATAAATGGGAGCTTTACCCATGTCAAGCAGAATAACCTTTAGCATAAAAGAAGAGAAAAAAGGGGGAAAATATTATATCAAAGGTTCTAAAATAAATATTTTTCAACTCGGAGTTAAAAAAAAAACAACCAACAAGCCACCTCGCAGCTATTCATTTGAAACTGGGGACGCGCGTGCAGCCCACAAGTCACAGGGCTGGACAGGGCTGGTGCAGTATTTTCGGGTCGTGCAGAGAACTGGACCCGCCCCCCACGGAGCGGACTGTGTTTCCGAAACGGAACCTGCCGAGCGGGGGCGAGGAGGCCGGGACGGGACCTCCGTCTCCCAGGGGCGCCAGCGCACAGCCGCAGCGCGGAGGTTCCGGGTTCGGGGCGCTGAGGCTCCGGGGCCCGGAGGTGCTGGGGTCGGCCTGGGGCCCGGGCCCGGAAGCCAAGGTGCCGGGGTGCCCAGGCTCGGCCGCCGAGGGCGACTCCGGCCCCGCCGGGATCCGCGGCCCCGCGCTGACGGCCCCGCCCCCGCCCCGCCCCGCCCCCGCCCGGAGACGCTGTGCCGAAGCTCATTGGTCAGCGACCTGCCGCTCTGGTCACGTGACGCGGCCATGTGACGCCACCCGGAAGTCGGCGGGGCTGTGGCCCTCCAGGGCGAGCGGCGGGAGCCCGCGGGCGTCGTCTCCCCGCGCGATGTTCTCGGCAGGAGCGGAGAGTCTGCTCCACCAGGCCAGGTCCTCCGCGCCTTTCCTCGGGGGCCCCGATGGGGGGCGTTTCTGAGCGGCACGCGGGGCGGCACGCGGGGCGCCCCACGGGCCAGGTTGGGGTTAGATGGTCCGGGGACGGTCGAACTGGTCCCCGGAGGAGGGGGCGCCTGAGCAGCGTTTTGAATGGGAATGACGTTGAGTGGAAGTGAAATGGGGTGGGAGCCCGCGCCTTGTTTCGCCCAAGAACCGCGTATCCGGCAGGGAGCGGGTGGACAGAAGCTGTGGGTTGCTCCAGGGTTTGAGCGCACAAAACCACAGAGAGGCGGGGGAGGCTGTTAGGGATGAAGTCATGGAGAGTTCATGGAGTGAGCCAAGCCCATGCAAAGGGCTTTGGGGAGCCAGGGGAGGATTTTGTGATTTAAAAAGTGGGGAGTACATTGGATTGAGAATTTACCCACTGTTTTCTGGCCCTCTGTTCTGGGTCTGAAGCCCCAGTAATTGGTAGCCCTTTCCTCACCAGCTAACCTATCAGGGAAGAAAGAAAAATGTAGGTTAGGACTAAATCCCTCAGTCCATAAGGCAGTCTAAGACTTGATGCTTCTTATTTAACAGAAGAAAATGCAGGGCCTCCCCGGTGGTGAAGCGGTTGAGCGCTGGGTTGCGAAGCTGCCCGCAGCCTCTGCGGCGCCGGTTCGATCCCCGGCTGCTCCCCGTCCCACATGGCGCGCAGACCTCTCCTGCCGCCCGCTGCTCCCCTCAGCAGTGTACTTCGGTCCTTCTGCCTGCTCTGCTCCCTGCTCTGTCACTGGTGAATTCTCTCACCCTCCTGTGCTTCTGACTGTACCCAATGCTTGTATAAATAAATAAATAAATCTTTAAAAAAAAAAAAAAAAGAAGAAGAAGAAAATGCAGCCAGAACCACAAGTCTATGGCAAACTTAAAACGAAAAACAGTGAAGCAAGATTTTGCCTGCAGATTAGGTTCCCGAATTAGTGAACAGGGCAAGAAGCTTCTGTGGTCAAAACAATAATCCTTGGAAATCTGTAGGAATGTGCGCTGTGAATTTGTTGCACTGCATCCTAGTGAGTCTAGCACAGTTTGTCTTTCCTTCATTTGGGGCAGATAGACCAATGTTTGAGTTCTAATATTCCAATTTAAGTTCTCTTGAACTTGAGGACTGGATTGAATGAAAACACAGTATCTTTAAAAACTTGTCTCTCAACATGTGACAGGTTCACCCTAAGTTCTTCCCAAGAGACACTAAGACCCACTCAGAATTTCACTGCCTTGTACTTACGATCATAAATTCATGGAAGGAAAGGCAGAATGAACAACCCTTATTTCTGTCTTAGGTGGATGGGTGAATTTAGGGTAGCATATGGTTAAATATCCTTAAATAAAATGTGTGAGTTATACAATTCCTCTCTGTTAGGATTTAAAGAAATTTAATAACTATCAGTTCCTATTAGTTTTCACTGTACATTTCAATTTCATTATGCTTGTGACTTGGGGGAGCTCTTGGAAATAGATTTCTATGGTTTGGAAGTTAGTTTTTGGAGTAAGTTTTAGTTTTTCTAAATTTTTCAGAAGTTGAAAGCAAGGGTGGGAAAGTTATCAGAACTATCTCTTGTAAGCTGAAGAATAAAGGAAGAAAATAGGACATGAATAAGCAGGATGGGTGGAGCAAGGTTGGGGAGGTTTCCAGAAGGATGAGACAAATCAGAAGCCAGCCTTCTGCTAATCACTGTGGTTGTGGTGGGAGTTGAATAAGATGTTTTTAAGGCAACACATAAACCCTATGACAGGTGCTAAGTAAGTAGAAACATATGAAGGAACTTGCAGAAGAAAACAAGTGGCAAGCTAACCTTAGGGGGAGAAGTCAAGATAACTTGGGCAGTGGTTCTGGGTGAAGGGAAGGAGCAAGAGAAACAGGATTTGAAGGCTGTCAGGAAAGGAAGGAGGGTCAGGAGTCATGTTAGCAACTGTAGGAGTTTGGATTTGACGGGTGTGGGCAACTATTGAAGGGTTTGAGTGCATCGGCCTTTCAGAAAGAATCCTGTGATTTGGAGAATATATTGGAAAGGAATAATTGGGGGTGAGGGAAAAACCACCAGTCTGGGAAAGAGTCTCCATTAAAAGTGCTAGGCAATCTGGTCGCTTCTGGTTTGGCATGTATAGTTCAACGTCATCAGCCCAGTAGGATCCTGCATGGGGTTAGTGGACTGCGGCCATTGCTTGGGGGAGATGGGGAGGGACAGCCTATAGGGGGCTTTCTCCAAAACACCACCTCCCCGCAACCCCGAGTCATCCCTGGTACGGTAACTTGCTGGTATATTACCCTTTTTTTGCTGTTGGGACTGGAATAGATGCCTAAAAAAGGCTTCCATTTTCATACTTTACTCAATATCTATTATCAGTGCACAGTAGACATATTTTCCATTAAGCAAATTAAGTTTTAGAGGAAGAAATTATAATAGGTTATCCTGCCAATGTGTCATAATATTTACCCTTTAATATATATGAGTTAACTCTTGTTTCCAGCAGTTAAAGGCTGATTGAAGGAATCTTTTGAATATCGACTTCTTTTAGATTGAATTTCCTGGCTTTTTAAATAGGACTCCTAGACTCAATCAGCTTTAGTTCTATGGCTCCCAGAACAAGAAAACTGGAATGCAGGGAGTGTCCATTGCTGAGTTTTGTTGTAGTAGATCACTGGAGTGATGGTCCCCCAACATCCCTGCCTTGTGGTCTCCGAGTCCCAGGGACAGGAGCCAGTTGGGGTGACTGGTCAGGAAGTTTATCCCAAGATGCATGTGGATGGTGGGGTCCTTTCCTTCAGCCACACTTGAGTCATTCTGTTGCTGCTCAGGGCAGCACTTCTGAGTCCTTGAGCAGGTCCCTCCATGCCAGAGTGCCCACTGTCTCTTCTTTGTTTAGGGAGATCCAGGATGAGGAGCTGAGGAAGTTCTCTTCCCGGATCAGTAAACTGCTGCAGAAGGAGGACTGGAGGCCCGAAGCCATTGATGGCCTGCGGAGGCTCTTCCTCATCATCTCTGCCACAAAATACCCCAGGAAGTAAGTGTCTTATCTTTGGGCACTGCAGCCTGGTCCTTGCTCCCAATTCAGGTGAACCCAATGTGTGCAGCAGCTGGCACCCATATTCCTTTGGCATTTGAGCCTTACACCCACCTAAACCAGTGCCAAAGGTTCTCAGTTAGCAAAATTTCTTGCCACCTGTCAAAGGGACTGGACAACTCCTTGGGGGTAACAGGGAACAACAGGGAGCTAGGCCCTCAGTTGGGGTGAGGTCCTGCCTACCTGCCCACCATGGTCTTGCCTGGCAGGCTGGAGAAGACGTGTGTGGACCTGCTGCAGGCTGGCCTCTGCTCACCCACCTGCCCTGAGCAGCACCAGGTTCTGTGCGCTGCCATCCTGAGAGAGATGTCGCCCTCCGGCAGCCTGAGCCTGTCCTGTGAAAACATCCGGAACACCCAGCAGCTGAGCCTCGTGGCCTCTGTGCTCCTGGCCCAGGTACCTGCGTGGGCAGCTCAGCTTGGGGTCCCCTCCAGTCAGCGATTTTAACACAGCTTCAGGTGCCAGTACCGCCAACACTTTGGTTATCTCTAGAACACCTGACTCCCCCCCCCCCAGCCACACACACACACACACACACACACACCTGCTTCTTCGCCTGGCGGGAGGGAGTCAGGGCTCTGGGAAGGCTGATTCAGGCTGCAGGGCCAGGGCCCATGTAACATCCTTGATGCCTGTAAGAGGAGGAATCATGGTATCAGCTAGGCATGTTGCAGCGACTCAGAACCTGACAGTCCCCTTTCCAGACGTTTCCAGATGTTTCAAACCACCTGTGAGGAGCTCGGTAGAGGAGTAGACTGGCTTACAAAAATGTTCTTGATAAAGTGAGCCAGAGAGAAAAGCTGGGCTTCTGGTGGGCGCTGCGCACTGTGTTGCAGGACGTTCTAGAAGCACTGGATGTCACTGACGATGCCAGGCCCAAGGATGTGCACATTGATGGCAGCAGCCATGTCATGGCCAGCAGCCACGTATCAGCCCCCACTGCATTCAGAAGTGCATGAAAGTAGAGAGTAGGGGACCCCTCATTTCTGTTTCCAACATAGCTAGGGCCAGTGTCATTTCGGCTCTGCTCCCTCCACTGGCTCCATCCCCTTTTATTTTGATACGAATTCCAGATATGGTGACATCTGTGCTGCTCAGTGTCCTCCTATGGGGAGGACTAGCCATCCTTCCTGCAGGGACTCAAAGAGACAGTGGCCTCTCCATATGGACCCAGTGAGCTGCTTCCCAGGTGGGGTCCTTCTGTCTCCCCAGGCTCCCCAGACTGCTAATCTCAAAAACTCAGTCAGGTCCTGGCTGGGGTTGTTGCCAAGCTGCCACCCAGGGGTCTACATCCTTCCGTGGGAGTCTTCACCCTCTCTCTGTGGCTCCAGAAGCTCTGAATGTGGGGTCCAGCTTGTGACCTCAGGAAGGGTTGGTCCAGTGGCCTTATTATTCCCTCACCTTCTCCGCTCACTGAAGCGATGCCTCTTTCAGAGAAGTGCCCCCATCACTGCTCTCCTGGTCCCCGCAGTGCCATGCATGCAGGAGGCACCAGATCCCTGGATTTTTGTCCCTCTGTTTCCAATTTTCAGAGAAATGCTGGTTCCCTGACACCCCTATGGGTGCTCAGAAACAGTGGTTGCCTCTTGGCAATAGGCAGGGATGGATGCAGACAGTTGGGGTGTCACGATCCACTGCCTTTATTGGAATCCACGTAGCACCTCCACCTTAATCAGTGATGCCTCCCAAGTCCCCCAAGCTCCCCCGGGAAAACTGTGATCGAGAGAGACTCAGGCTCCCTTGTTCTTGTCCTGTCCAGCCCCTTCTCTTTAGGGACTCCGGATGGTTCAGAACCACCCAGGCGCCAGCAGTGTGTTGCTACGCGGATACTCGTCATTCCTGGAATGGTTTCTGTCCTTAGATGCAGCCCAGCCTGTGGCCACTGAGGCTTCAGAGTCAAATTCCTGATCAGCTAGCGTGCCCCTGCCCTCTGCCACCCCCACCACCGCCTTTATGTCCTTCCCCGCACCCGACTGGGTCACAGGCAGACCCCGCCCCGGGTGCCCAGCATCCTCCATCCCAACTTCGCTGGTGGTGCGGCTCCCGTGGGGGTTCCCTGAGGCTGCGAACGAAACCTTTAAGCACTTGGCTTCGTGGAGAAACAGGCAGCAGCGTCACGGCTGATGCGTCACCCTGTCGCTGGACTGCCAGTCACACTCAACTTTAAGAACCTGCCCCAGATGTAGAACTAAATTCCCCCGGCCACATGGCGCTGCCAGGCTGCTCTTGCTTTCAGCCACCCCTCTCTGCCGCGGTGGGCAGGGACTGCACTGGCCTGTGCTCGCCCACCCTGGTGTGCCTGCTGTGGCAGCCATCCTGGACCAGCCCAGGAGCTTTTTCAGACAAGACAGGAAGTGCTCAGAAGCCTGGGCAGGCAGTGCTTCACTGCCACCTGTGCTCGGCCTGCAGGGTGCCAGCGAGCAGGTCAGAGGCGTGGGCCAGCGCGTCTTCAAAGTCCTGGAGAGCCGGCAGCCCGAGGGCTCCAGTCTGAGGCACCTCCTCCCAGTCCTGTGGAAAGTCACCGGCCTGGCCCCAGGCACCTTCCATGAAGGTACCTGCACCCCTGCTTGAGAGACCTGTGCCGTGCACCGTCCCCCGGGCAGTGGGGGAGCTGGTGTCACGCAGGCCTGAGGGCGGGGGCCTCTGTAGGGGCAGCTGCTTGAGCTCTAGGACTTCAGGCCTGGGGCCAGTCCCCGCAGTCTCAGTCTGTGGAATTTGCAGGTTCCTCAGTGTTCTCCCTTCTCCCCAGACCAGGTCAACCTGCTCAACAAGAGGCTGGTGGACTGGCTCCGCTATGCCAGTGTCCAGCAGGGGGTGGCACACTCCTCTGGAGGCTTCTTCACACCCAGAGCGCGGCAGGTGAGGCTGGAGAGATTCTCGGAACCTCGCTGACCTCGGGTGTCCCTGAACCCCACCCCCCACCACCACCACCACCAGCCTTGCCTGAAAGATTCCTTCTACTCCTCCTCTCTGTCCTTCCATCTGCCCTGGTTCCAGAATGATCCCTTTCCTGCCACCCCCTTTGTAGTGGGGCTTTGGGTCACAGCCCCCCCAGCCCATGGCGCTCGGTGGCCTCTTGAGGCCTGGGGCCTAAGGACAAGGAGCACGTGTCTGAAGGAGGCCCATATTCTTAACTCAAGTCCCAGCATTTGTGTGTCTCATAAAGGGTGGGTGCTCCTTGTTCTAGAAGCATAAACAACCACACTCGGTGTGGACAAGCAAGGCAGCGGCTCTTCATGAGAAGCTGTGAGCCCGCTGCCCCTCCCAGCCGGGGTCCTGCAGTGTGTCTGTCCTTCCTTGCCTCTGCAGCCTGGCCCCATCACTGAGGTGGATGGCGCGGTGGCCACAGATTTCTTCACGGTGCTGTCTACGGGCCAGCACTTCACGGAGGACCAGTGGCTGAACGTGCAGGCCTTCTCCATGCTGCGGGCCTGGCTTCTGCACAGCGACCCCGAGGGCCCTGGTGCCCCAGATGCAGGTAGGATGAGGGCACAAGGCAACGGGAGGGACCCCGTGTGCTCCCAGATGACACTGGCTGCTTGGCTGAGCCTGGTTGGTTCCAGGAGTTTCTTCCCAGACTCATTGGAGAAATCGATGGTCCGTTAGTGCAGATGTCAGCAGATACCCGACAGTTCCCCTGAACTCCTCTGCCCTCCAGCTAGAATTTAATGGTGGGGATGCACAGGAAAGAAACCACTCCACTGGGGCCTGGCGAGGGCAAGGGCAGCCGGGAGGGGCATCAGCCCCCACACCCTGCGCTCTGAGATGGCGGCTGTCCCTTCCCCTGCAAAAGAGCCGCTCTGCGTGTTGGAGCAGCGCCCGTCCCTGACCGCCGTCGGCTCTCTTCACAGACGACAGGTCGGAGCTGGAGGGCTCCACCCTGTCTGTGCTCTCTGCTGCCTCCACCGCCAGCAGCCTGCTCCCCCCCAGGAGCGACTCCGGGAGAAGGCCCTCGAGTACTGCCAGCGCCTCATTGAGCAGAGCAACCGGCGTGAGTCTGCGCCTGCCCCTCGCAGAGGGTCACCTTGGGCTGGTCACAGGAGGCTGGAGGCCCCGCAGCACTTTGTCTTGGAGTGTTTTGTTTCCACACCTCTAGGCCAGGGAGCTGGTCGTGTCAGGGAGCCTGTCTGGGCAACCCAGGGCTGTGCCCCCCAGCCCAGCAGGCCTTAGCCCCACCTCACCTTGTCCCTGGGGGGTGACTCCGCCTTCCGGTCCCTCTGCTCCTGCTTCCAGAGCACAGCGTGCTCTCTGCTTTGTCAGCCGGATGCTGACACAGAGACAGTGCATTCTCTTCCTCTCCCCCAGGAGCCCTGAGGAAGGCGGACTCCGACCTGCAGAAGGCTGTGAGTCCCCCACGGGCGGTGGGCTGGGTGGAGCCGGCGGGCAGGCTGAGAGGCACCTTCTGAGGACCCCGTCCCCTGCAGTGCCTGGTGGAAGCCGTGCTGGTGCTGGACGTGCTCTGCAGGCAGGACCCCTCCCTCCTCTACCGCACCCTCCCCTGCCTGAAGGCCCTGCACACCCGGCTGTGTGGGGACCCTCCCTGCGTGCGGGCGCTGCTGCCTGTCGCCCAGTTCTTCCTGAACCACGGTGAGGCCCCTCCCCTGCCTGAGCTCCGGGGGCCGCCACTGCTCAGGGCAGAGGTGGCATTTCTCTGCAGGCCGGGCTCCTTCCCTACATTTAAAACTTTAGTGCTTTTGGTGGGCTGTGAGCACCAGATGGTGGTCTTTTTTTTTTTTTTTAAATGCATTCATTCAATAGATCTTTTTTCTAAAAGATTTATTTATATATTTATACAAGCACTGGGTACAGTCAGAAGCGCGGGAGGGTGAGAGAATTCACCAGAGCCAGAGCGGGGAGCAGAGCAGGCAGAGGGACCGAAGTACACTGCTGAGGGGAGCAGCGGGCGGCAGGAGAGGTCTGCGCGCCATGTGGGACCCCCCTCCAGTGGCCGGGGAGCAGCCGGGGATCGAACCGGCGCTGCAGAGGCTGCGGGCAGCTTCGCAACCCAGCGCTCAACTGCTGCGCCACCGGGGAGGCCCGGTGGTCATTTTTAAACGGGTTTACGTAGCGAATTAAAACGTCATCGACTCAGTGTTGGTCTCAGGACTCTGCCATGGGTTTCATGAGCCTTGAAGGTGGGTGCCTTGAGACCAGGGCCTCAAAGGATGTTTCAGGTGGTTTCCACTTGGGTTGGCGAGGGCCCCTGACTGCCACAGAGATGCTCTGGTGCCTAGGTGAGGACGCCCTGTCTGGCGTCCCACCCTGATGTGCCTGCACCTTCCAGGGGAGGCCGCGGCCATGGACTCGGAAGCCATCTGCCAGCACCTGTTCACCAGGATACCTTCTGAACTCTTCCACAGCCCGGTGCTGGCCTTTGAATTCATCCAGTTCTGCAGGGACAACCTTCACCTGTTTGGCAGAAACCTGGGCATTCTCAGATCAAGCTTCCCCAACCTCTTTAAGGTACAGTCGGCTGTCCCCAGGCCAGAGAGGGTGCTGGGTGCTGGGGCAGGCTGCATTCCCCGGGGCCCCCTCCACTAGGGGGCTCTGCAGAAGTGCTGGCTGTGACCACAGGGCCTGGTCTCTCCCAGACTGGGGTCGGCAGGAGTAGAGGGGAAACCCAGGGAGACTGAGATGCCCTTATAGGACATATAACAGCATCACTGGCAGGGAAGACTCATGCCAGCCTCTTGGGAAGGCCTGACTTTGTAGTTTTGTTCTAGAATGTGTACAGATGTTATCACCTGGGGGCCTTGCCTGGCATGTTCGGTCCTTTGGTGGCATTGGCTTTTGATGTGTCTTTTGCGGCTTGTCTGGGCAGCCTGTTCAGTCAGCTGGAGATTAATTCCCTTCGTTAGAGGAAAAAACATCAGTGGCAGGTGGAAGTGACTGATTTAATTGTTGGTACAAAAGTGGACGTAGAAACCAAAAGAATTGTGAAAGAAAAAAGAAAAAACAGGAGTGATTTCAGACTCCCGGGCCCCAGCGAGGTGAGAGGCTAGGCAGAGAGCCCTGCCGGATGCGGGTCTCGGGCCATGACAGGGTGGCAGGCACCCGCCTGGGCGTTCTGTGGACGTTCTGCTTCCACACTGCCCGCTGCTGGGCTTCTCCTCCTGGGCCGCCTGAGCGCTGTCCTGTTACTGCAGTTCCTGGCCTGGAACAGTCCGCCCCTCACCTCCGAGTTTGTGGCCCTGCTGCCGTCACTGGTGGACGCGAGCACGGCCCTGGAGATGCTCCACGCGCTGTTGGACCTGCCCTGTCTGACTGCGGCCTTAGACCTGCAGCTCAGGTAAGCCTGAGTGCCCCCGCTGACCCCTCGCCCCAGTTCCAGCTTCGATCTACTCCTTCCCCTGCCCACCGGCCCACTATTCCCCTGGCTGTTCTGGGTCTGGAACACGATCCACCACCCCACAGAGGGCCTCCCTGTGGCTCATGCCAGCCTGCTGGTCACAGCCCTAGGTCGTGGGCCCCGCTCAGGCTCTGACCCACCTTGCAGGCCCAGGGCCTTCAGGCCCATGGCTGGGTCATGGTGCTGCAATGTTCAGGTGACATCAGCCCCTGGCTCTCTTTGACCCTTGTTGCACCTGTGAAGGCAGGAAGCCCAAGTCAGCCTCCCTGACCGGCGCCTGGAGCCTGCGCTTGAGCTGGCCTTAGGCAGCTGTCTGCTCACAGGTCGTTGCCAACTGTGTCGGCGGAGAGGCCGCTCTGGGACACCTCCCTTAGGGTCCCCAGCTGCCTGGAGGCCTTCCGGGACCCACAGTTCCAGGGTCTCTTCCAGCACCTGCTGCGAGCCAAGGCCAGTGGGACCACAGAGAGGTAGGGGCCACTGGGGCCTGGGACCGCCAGCATGGGCACCATGAGGTTGCATGTCTGGGTATGGCGGGGCACTCAGTGGGCTGTGCTGTGACCCCAGGTTGGCGCCCCTCCACCACCTGCTGCAGCCCATGGCCAGCTGTGCCCGAGTGGTCCAGTGCGCCGAGGCTGTGCCCATCCTGCTCCAGGTGTTCTTCTCGGCGGTTACGCAGGTGAGCCAGCTTCCAGGGCCTCACACACCCATGATAGTGGGGCCCTGGCACGGCCCTTGACCTTGGCAGGGCTTCAGTTTCCCGCTGGCAAAAGGGCCACCTCTTCAGGGGTCAGCGTAGTCACACACCAACCCCGGCCAAGGTCCTGGCCTTCCTGCCCGCCATCCTCACCCCAGAACAAGCACGTGAGTGGCCCCCAGGCCAGCAGAGACAACAGAAGGTGGTGCTCAGGAGGTGGGGCTGAACCTGTCTCTCGCTCTTGGCTCCCAGTTCGCTGACGGGGCCCTGATCAACCAGCTGGCACTGCTGCTACTAGAGAGAAGTGACTCGCTCTACCAGGTGCCCCAGTACGAGGCTCACGTGCACAGGTAGGTGCCCTGCCAGCCCCAGGAGGCTTCATTCCTCCTGTAGCTCAAGCGCCCCAGCACCCCACGTTCCATGACCCCTCACACGTGGCTGTCATGGCTTCAGTTACACACTTTGTCCTTTGTCACCATAGCGCCACCCTCCAGGCGGGGCCCTCAGCAGTTTACATCCTCCCACCCCCAAGGTCATTCCCCCCAGCCCAGCCTGGCACTTCTGGGTCACTCCTCAGACTCCAGCCCAGAATGTTCCATGTCCTTCCCTCCTCCCCTAAGTCTGTTGTCTTCAGCTCTGGCCCCGATCCCTCTTCCACAGAGCCTTCCAGACCATCTGCCCTCTTGCTGAAGGCCTGATACATAGGGACTTGCTGATCCGCTCTCACCCTTGGGTCCAGGACGGAGGGCAGTCCCAGCCCAGCCTCCTCCCCCGCGGGGCACTAGGTTCCTTTAGGGCCGGAACTATCTTTCCCTCCCTGAAGGGAGCAGCCTCTGCTGGTGCTTCCCACTCGCACCTGGGCCCTTGCCCCGGCCGAGGGGGCCGTGCTCTGACCCGGCCACAGGACCGAGCCCCACGTCTTCTCTGGGCAGGGTACTGAGCTCCCAATTCCTGGCCCTGTGTAAGCGGCAGCCCTCCCTGGTGGTGGAGCTGGCAAAAGAGCTGCTGGAGTTCGTGGGCAGTGCGAGCGGCGTCCGCAGCAGAGGGAGCATGCTCACCTGTGTGGTAAGGCCAGGCCCGTGCCCATCCCTCCCCTGGGAGGAGGCCTGGGCGTGGACTGAGGCCTGTCCCTGACCAGGTGTGGGCAATCGGCGAGTACCTGTCGGTGTCCTGGGACCGGCGATGTACCGTGGAGCAGATCAACAAGTTCTTTGAAGCCCTGGAGGCGCTGCTGTTTGAGGTCACCCAGTCCCGCCCCTCTGCCACCCTCCCCAAGTGTCCACCACAGGTCATCACCGTGCTCATGACCACACTGACCAAGCTGGCCTCCCGGAGTCAGGACCTAATCCCTCGGTACTGGTTAGGGGTGGGAAGAGGGAAGCAGCGGCGATTCCCCAGAGAAAAGGAAGAGGGGTCCCGTCCCAGGCGAGGGGACACCGTGTCAGCAGCACAGGGTCTGCTCGGGTGGCTGGGCTGTGCGGGCACCCCCGAGCCACTCTCCTCCCCACCAGGGCCACGCTAGCAGGGGCTCTGGGCAGCCGGGCCCTCCACGCAGAGAAGTGCGTCTCTGACTGCTCGTCCTTCTTCGCCAGGGTCTCTCTGTTCTTGTCCAAAATGAGGACCCTGGCCCAGAGCCCGGCCCTGAGCTCCATGCACAGTGAGGCGGACGCAGCGGCCATCTGCACGCGGGCCACCGAACTGCTGAACCTGCTGAAGATGCCCAGCGTGGCCCAGTTTGTGCTCACGCCCAGCGTGGAGGTGTCCCACCCCCGCTACCACCGTGACAGCAACACGGCGCTGCCCCTGGCCCTGCGCACCGTCAGCCGGTTGGTGGAGAAGGAGGCTGTCTCCTGCCAGGGCGAGGGGGTGGGGACGCCAGTGAGGGGCCTGGTGTGAGGGCCGTGCCAGCTCAGTGATGAGCGAAGGGGAAGCAGGAGCGTCGGGGCGGACCCAGCTCCCTCCGTGCTGGGAGTGCTGACAACTCTCACTCGCAACCTGCTGAGCTGTGTCCTGCGACAGCCCTGGTTTGTGGCCTTCGCCCCTCTGGGCGCTGGACTGGAGTTGCTTGGTCTGGCCTGTTCGCGTTCTGGAGAGAAGCAGAGGTCCATAGTGAAATGAAACCTCCCTTTTAAAGTAGCTGAACATGGCCTGTCTCTTCGCTTTCCTTCCCTCCACCCAGTGGCAGCTCCCATAGCTGCAGCAAGTCCAGGGGCGCCACCCGGTGCTGCCAGGCCCGGAGAGCCAACCCTGGGGACCAACAGCCAGGCACCTGGTGCTGTACCTCCCTTCTCAGTGCCGACGTGCAGGGGCTGAACCCACTCGACCCCTGTGTCCTAGATGTCCCACAAATAACATCATCAACACAGGCAGGCAGGCAGCAGTGTGAGCCCCCAGAGGTGATAACTGCCACTGGGCAGTGCCCGTCAGGGGCCACCTTCTTGTGCTTCTGAAGTCTGGGTTCCCGACTGCCTGGGCTGGAGGTGCTGTCCCCTTTGCAGACCTGGAGCTTCCTGCGCTTGGGAGGAGGGCAGGGCTCCCAGCGGCCCAGACCCAGCCTCCTGCAGCCTTCTCTGAACAAACTCCCTTCACTTTGTTACTGGAGACAGCTGGGCGTGGTAGGGCAAGGAAGCCCCATTCCACCCCGCCCCAGGGTGCCTGGGCAGCTTCCGCTGAGTTGGCTGCCGCTGGGTTTTGACTAAAGCCTGTGGCTGAGTCCAGGCTGCACCCTTGCTCCGCCTGGTGCGGGGATGGGCCTGGGCCAGCAGGTGGTGCTGTTGCCCTGCGAGCCTGGAGCCCAGCCCTCCCGCCTTAGGCCACGCCCCTGCTCGGGCTCCCCCGATTCCCCGCCACGCCCCGAGCCGTGCCAGGTGGTCAGGCTCCGGGCTCTGCCTTGACACCCCTTGCCAGCGCAGCCTTCACCCCATACCCCCCATCCTGCTTGTCCTCTGGCAATTCGTGTTCAGGGTTTGCTTCCAGCCGGTTTGATTTGTGCCCTCATTTCGATTTAGGGGTCTAAGGATTTCTTTTCGTTGGGTTCAATCATACATTTAAAATTACTTTTAAAAATAAATCTCAGCCAGCATTTTGGTAACGTGGCAGTGCACGGCAGGTGGAATCTGGTGCCGGCCCTTGGCCAGGTGCACAAGGATTGGGGCCACGGGTGCGCGCCCGCCTGAGCTCACCAGGGGGCAGCGCGGAGCTGCCAGGGGCCTGGAGCTTGAGGCACACCGAGGACCCCGCAAAACCTTCACACAGAGGGGTCCTTTTGCAGCTGACCCGTCGTCCCCAGGGTCTTTCTGTTAAAGAGAAGGACCCTGCCCAGGCCTGGACACAAGCTGGGTGCACGAGGAGGATATTATGTTCAAGTCCCGCGACCCAGCCCTGCCCCACCCCTCCATCTGTGTGGCCCCACGCAGGTCAGCCACTGTGGAGACGGAAGCAGGCCTCCTGCCAGGGTCAGGGGACCGTGGCCAAGTGGAAGAGGGCAGTGGTCACAGATGAGGGGCCTGGTGTGAGGGGCAGGTGCGGCTTCAGTGATCAGAGATCAGGAGGGCAGTTGGTCAACCTCCTGGGACTGTCTAGCATGTGGTTACCAAGAGCAAATGACAACGGGCTCTCTAACGATGGCCCTAACCCTTTTCCTGGATTGTCCCTGCTCCCTATTTGGGAGGGAGGCAAAAGAGAAGCAGTTGAAACCCACAGCCAGCACAATTATCCCATGTTCTCCCAGGCTCTCCTGCACCCACTGGGAGACCCTGTACAGCCCCACCCTGGCCCAGGCACCACACTCACTAAGATTATGAAAGACAGTTTATTGAATCTAGACTTCTCCAGTAAAGTCTTCAAACATAAAAGCTCTGTAACAAACATCACAACTTAGTGTTATCTGTCCTATAAATAAAATATACACTAAGATGTACATTATGCACAGGTGAGGGATGGACCCACATGGCACAGCCTGGTGGAAGGTGGCAGGCCCTGGGCATGGGTGTCCACCCTAGGGAGGGGGCGTGCGGAAGCGGATTTTCTTGGCTGTTTCCACATCAGACTTGGCGACCAGGAAGCGCATCTTCTTTCCCCCGTGTCGGATCAAATCCACGGCTCTGAAACCCAGGAATGGGAGGAGAATGGGGGACAGGAGTCCTCAGCGAGGATGGGCACAGCCTCCTGAGGTGCCTGGGTGGCCTCAGCTTTGACACAGGCAGGGCCCCAACCCCTCTACCCCCAGTCTGTGGTGGATGGGGCTGTGCGAGGGCCAGGCCATCAATGCCTGCCGGCCTCCCTCCCTCCCTCTAGGAAGGGGCACAGGCCACAGAATCGGGGTGGGAGTCAGCACCCGAGTACCTCATGCCGAGACAGCATGAGGGACAGAGCCAAGAGGTAGAGCCTGAGGGGGTTGGTTTGTCCACAGAAGCCGAATGGAGGGATGTGGGGGGCAGTTCAGGGCCTCCACTTTCTCCTCCCTGAAATGAGTCACTCACAGGAGGCTTGCCCTGCAGGTGCCCTGGCCGTGGGCCGACCCTGACAGCTTCCCCAGCATAGGCCGAGCGGGCGCTGGGAGGGGGCATACCTCAGGTAGCTGACGCCTGTCAGGCTGCTGCCGTTCACCTCCAGGATGCGGTCTCCCAGGGAGAGCCGGCCATCGGCTGCAGCCGGGCTGCCCGGAAGCAGGGTCTGGATGTAGAGCCCCGGGATGCCCAGGGGTGTGTGCTGGGGAGAGGCGGAGGCCTCAGCACCTGGGACATGGTGCTTAGCGAGGACCCCATCCCGAGACCTGGCCTGGCCCCGGCTGGGCTCATGGATATGGTCACCAAGAGATCTGCAATAACAGTGCTGCCCCCCACCACTGTCCCCACAGGCCCAGACACCCCGAGGTCTGAGGATGGAGCTGGAAGCAGCTGCCACACAGGGCCCTTCCCTCAAATTCCACAGAGAAGCCCCCGCCTCTCATCCTAAACCCTCAATAGGCCTCCTCCCCTCCCCGACCCCTCTCTCTTAACCCCACGAGCTGTGGGCCTCCCTGCACAGGAAGGCCAGGGGCAGCTTGCAGACTCACCATCCCATCGATCAGGCCCATCCCCAGCCCAGAGGGACCTCGCTGCAGCTCCACCGTGAAGACAGAGCAGAAGTCCTCAGTGTTGGAGGTGACACTGGAGGGGGCCAGAGGGGGCTCATCCATGGGGGCTGCACAGTCTCCTGGGGGGTGACAGAAGGGGGGAGCCGTCAGGGCTATGCCTTTGTCTTGATTCTGCCCATGAAGCTGGTGTCACACCTGTGCCCGGAGTCAAGCATCCAGGGAGCACCACCGCCTGCTTCTCCAGACGGCAAAATGCTCTGGAAGCTCCAGCAAGATGCCTACCCAGGACCAGAGCTGGGTGTGACACCGCTAAGTGCCTGAGCCCCTGGCCTGTGCTGCCCAGGATGCTGGGCCTCTCAGGGTGGCTGATTCCAGGGGGCTGAGAAGTGGGCTTTGCTCAGGCTTCCTCAACCGCCCCCACACGGCCTGTTCCCTCCCGGCCTGTCCCGGGCCCCTGGCCACCGCACTGAACCTCTGGCCCACCCCTGCTCATGGGTGGCCCCCCACCCTGGCCCCCAATCCGGCATGGAGCCGGCGGGGAGCAGGTGCTCACAGGCCACCTGAGACACCCCCCCCCTCCCGCCCCATGCGGCCCATATTCAGAATGTCTCCAGGCTGCCAGGCCCCGGGCGGTTCAGGTGCCCAGCCGAGCCCCCGCCCTCCTTCCCGGTGTCCAGGGCCGCGAGCACTCCCCGCAGGGCTGACAGTCCAGGTCAAACATGTCACCAGGACCCTACGGGAACCCCCCTAAAGGACACCGGCAGGGGCCAGGGCAGGGGGGCCGGCGAGAGCCTGAGGTCTGTCCTCACCTTCTGGAGTGGTGCCCCGGGGGCTGCTCCTCCTGCCTTCTAGCAGGGCGTTCCCAAGGGTGCCGCTCGGTTCTGGCCAGTCAGCGCCACCTGGCTCGAGGTCAAGGGGGGTGCTGGGAGGCGTGAGCATGTATGAGGGGTCCAAGTGCAGGGGGCCAGCCTGGGAACCCCCACGGCACCCGCGGCCAGGCGGCTGTCCTGCGGGACCCTGTGCCCGGGGAGCCCCCAGAAGAGGAAGAGCCCTAGCCGGGGCAGCTTCCCGGGCCTCCAGGGGTCCTTCAGGGATGGAGGGTCGGCCCTGGGGAGGGAGGGGAGAAAGGTCAAGGCCAGTTCTCTGACAGGGCAGAGAACCCAGCCTGCTGCAGCCTCTGCCTGGGGTGCGAGAACCCCAGTGGACAGGAGCTCTCCCTCCAGCTCCCCCCAGAAGCAGCAGGTGATGCCGTGTCTATGCCCACCCAGGCACCACCCAGGTATAACCACAGCCACAGGCATGGAGCTCGGCTCAGGTACCTCTTGGCACTCAGGCTGGGGCGGCCCGCAGGGGCTGGGCTTGCTCCGCAGGCTCCAGAGGAAGTGGCGGACATACAGGAGGTGCTGGTAGATGCCGTCGTCCAGGCAGTCCGCATCCAGGTCCACCTGGAAGCCCTCGCTCGGCAGCACGATGGGGGGCGGGTTCTCATAGGACTCCAGGACATCCTCTGCGGGCGGGGAAGAGCTGGCATGACTGGCCTGGCCAGGATGGGATCCAGGCCTGGGTGACTGACCCAAACCAGGCTCTGATTCCTTCTGACCCTCAGGATGAGGCCCAAGCATCCTCAGAGAACAAGGTCCTGTGTCTGAAGCTCTTTTTGCCCTCTTCTGCCCACTGCCTACCCACCACACTCAGCTTGAACGTCCGCACCTGAAGCCACACCTGTTCCTCCAGGGGCTCCTGTGGCCCAGGCCCTGTGCGCGCATGTATCACCCAGATCTGCCCACCAGGAACATGAGCACCGCCCAGGGACAGCAGGACAGACCGGCACGTTCTCCGCTCCAGGCACAGAGCCAGCCATGCTGAGGGCCCCAGAAATGGGCAAGTAAATGGGAAGAAGCAGGTGGCATCCCACGGCGGCGGGGGGGACAAGAGACAGTGCAGGAAGCTCTACTGCTACCTGGATCTCTGTCATCCTTTA